ATGTTATTTGAAGTGGGAAAAAATTAGATATATATATAAGGACAGTAGAGATAGTTGAAAAATATATATTTCCTTTTCTTAAAAGAATAAAATCATCTTATAAAATAATATATCCACTTTATATAAAATATAGGCGATGATATAGATGAAAAAACTTCTTTAAAATTAAGGAGAATTTCAAATCCAAATTATAATGAAAATAATGGTAAGGAATGTCATATGCACTCTTTAAAAAATATTGAAGTTTAAATATTTAACTAGTAATTTGGATAAATTTGTTAATTTTTTACTATTATAAAACAATTTCTAACTTTAGAAGTTATAAATTTCTCGTGAAAAATTAATAAAATTTGCAGGATTTTGTAGGATGTGAAATTAGGGTTTATAGATGGAAAATTTATTAATTTTTGGGTGGAAAAAGGTTAAAGACAATTCGATCGATTCCATCTGTGAAAGCGTAGGAATGTAAAAATGAGAATTTAGGGATTTCAGATAGCACAAAACCTCTACAGGAACCAAATATGCTTAGTTTTAAACACGGAATGTACCAGAAAAAGGATATTGGAAGAGCAAACTGTTCATAATCTAAATAAAAGTAAACAAAAGTGTATATATGCATTTTTCTCTGTAATCTTCTTTATCCATTTTCTGTGTAGCATATAACATGTGTTATCTTAATATATCACTCATTATTTTATAATAGTTTTATACATAATAATTGAAGTGACCAAATTGGAATTTTTCCTGAAGTGAAAACAGTAGTTATTGAATATTGTGTTAACATCTTTGACAATTTTTGAGATACAGTTAAAACTAAAATTCATTTCAAATTTTTTCCAACTCCTATTAAATTCAACTCAAGTTAATTTTTAAGTAAAATCTAAGCATACACTTAGTAATCAAACAGTCTGCACATACAGTATTGAAAGTTTGATTTAACTGTCTGCTACATTGCATCGAGTGTTACTGGAAATATATTTAACAGTGTGACAATGTTTCACATGGTTAGTAGCACAGTGAAATATATTTAACAGTGTGACAATGTTTCACAGTCACAAACACAATTGTCTTCATCCAAATGCTGTCACCTTCTTAATAGAATATACTTGAAAAGGCCAATAAAATAAACATATACCCTATTGCATGCTGTGTCTCTTCCTGTTTAAAGGATGTCAACTCCCTTTTGATTACATTCTCCTTCTGTTTGCAGGCTGTGTTTTGGTTGATAGTGCCAAAATTGATAAGAGAAGAGCGAATTAAAATCATTATGACCATAATGCTATTGATTTTTTTGTTCCAATTTCTCCCCAAAGTTTACCACAGCATCTGCATGATGAGAAGAATGCAAAAAGTCACGGGCTACATCTTTGGTACCATTTGGTGGGGCTTTGGTCTCAATCTCATAGCTTATTTTATTGCTTCCCATGTAAGTAAACCCCCTCTAACTAAAGTTTGAACCTTTCTATGATCAAGTTGTCACTAAATTCATTGCTAAAAAAGTGAACATTCTTTATAGGTTGCTGGAGGGTGCTGGTATGTCCTTGCAATTCAACGAGTTGCGTCGTGCCTTCGGCAGCAGTGTCAGAGAACTAATGGATGCAACCTTTCTGTGTCGTGCTCAGAGGAGATATGCTACCAGTCTTTGTCAGGCGCAATAGGAGATTCTTGTGGTGGAAACTCAACAGTAGTGTTAAAAAAGCCTTATTGCTTAGACGTTGAAGGACCTTTCAAATATGGGATCTACCAATGGGCACTTCCAGTCATATCAAGCAACTCTTTGGCTGTAAAGATTCTTTATCCCATTTTTTGGGGTTTGATGACCCTCAGGTAATTTGGTTAATTACCAGACTTTATGCTAATATTTCTCAAGTTAAGAAGTTCGTGCTTGTTCATGTTAGAATATGTATAAATCCATGCATCTGAACTCAATGAACATTTATTATGCCTATGGGTTTGGCTCATGATGCTTCTCTCTCAAACCTGTATAGACATTTCGTTTGAATAACTCCTTTTCTATCCACCAGAACACATTCAATTTGGTGAAAACTAACAGTGCGTTTTGATAATTGTACTTGTGAAGTTTTTTTAGTGCAATTCTTTTAACAGTGTGTTTGATATATATTTTGTATTTTCGGTTTCATCTTATTTGATATTGCTTTCTTAGTTTCAATTTGTGATTTTCCAGTGATCATTTTATATCTAAATACCGTATAGTTAATCAGTTAAACAGAAACATGTAGCATTGTTTTATCTAGTTGGTAGTTTTTTAATGAATTAAGATAATAGAATGGATTTGGGTTCATACAAAAAAATGTTTCCTAAATGCGTTTGATTGAGATGTATCCAAATGTCATAAAGCTTCTCGCTTGTTTGACTGAACATCTGTGTTTGAATAATACCTACTGTTCTTGCAGCACTTTCGGAAATGATCTTGAACCCACAAGCAACTGGCTGGAAGTAATTTTCAGCATATGCATCGTACTCAGTGGACTATTGCTTTTCACATTATTGATTGGTAACATTCAGGTATGCAAAAACCATTATTATTATAAGTATGAAAAGGTGCTCGTACTCAAACATGTTGTAACAAATGGGGTCATTCCCAGGTATTCTTACATGCTGTCATGGCAAAGAAGAGAAAGATGCAGCTTAGATGTCGAGATATGGAATGGTGGATGAGGAGGAGGCAGCTGCCATCACGATTAAGACAAAGAGTTCGCCATTTTGAACGTCAGAGATGGGCTGCGATGGGAGGAGAAGATGAGATGGAAATGATCAAAGACTTGCCTGAGGGGCTGAGGAGGGACATCAAGCGCCATCTTTGCCTCGACCTCATTAGAAAGGTAAGTAGTATTCACTCCCGAAAAGTAAAACATGTTGGATAGTATAATGCCTATAATAGTTGGTTAGTATCCTTAGATGTTAAATCAAGAAAAACAAACGAAAGAAGCTCGTATGTAAAACATTAGTTAATTTAACATTTTGTTATTAATAACAATGCTGTTGAAGCATTGACTACATCAGAAATCATAACAGAACTTTTAATCACTTTCCCAAGAGAAATTATTTTCTTGTGCAGCTGCTACATGTGTTTCTCAATGTTTGCATTCTATGCAATTCATAATTTCTTCTGGGTTTTTTCGCCACTTCTATAACCTTCTAATCTAAAACGTTTAGATAATCAATTTATGGATTTTTCTTCTTACAGTCACTTCAGTGGTAACTCAATAAAGTTTTTATTGGGCTACCACCACTTAACCGACAACCTACAGATATTTAATGTTGCAAACTTCATGCTTTAAGATGCTTACTTGTTTGTAAAAAGCAATATTACAGCAGAGGGAAATTTACATCATCACTTTGTGATGTGCAAAATAATAAGAGCAATGTGCAAATACCCTTTTGATATGGCTATTTAATCAACCATAACTAAAAAGTAGTTATTTCTGTTTGACAGGTTCCTTTGTTCCACAACTTGGATGAACTTATTCTTGACAACATCTGTGATAGGGTGAGGCCCTTAGTGTTCTCTAAAGATGAAAAGGTATTAATCACGTAAACAATTTACATCACCCTTTGCCAAATCTTCTTCCAAGCATTCCATGTGCAAAAGACTTATCATTTTGTTAATGCCCTTGTGAAACAGATAATAAGAGAAGGTGATCCTGTACCAAGGATGGTGTTCATTGTCCGAGGACGCATGAAACGCAGCCAAAGTCTGAGCAAAGGCATGGTAGCCTCAAGCATTCTTGAGCCAGGAGGGTTTTTGGGTGACGAGCTACTTTCATGGTGCCTTCGCCGGCCGTTTATAGATAGACTTCCGGCCTCCTCAGCCACATTTGTGTGTCTTGAATCAGTAGAAGCCTTTGGCCTTGATGCAGAGCACTTGAGGTACATCACTGATCACTTCAGGTACAAGTTTGCCAACGAGAGGCTGAAGAGAACAGCAAGATATTACTCATCCAATTGGAGAACCTGGGCTGCTGTCAACATTCAATTTGCTTGGAGACGTTACAGGCAGAGGACTAGAGGTCCGGTGACGCCTGTAAGGGAGAGTGGAGGCACTGAGCGCAGGCTCTTGCAATATGCTGCAATGTTCATGTCAATAAGGCCACATGACCATCTTGAATAAAGGCTGCTGTCCATGTTCTTCAAATTGTTGTTGCTTCCTGATCCTCAATAAAACTGTCTCAAGTCCATTAAACCTTATGATTTTTGAAGTTGTGGAAGCCATGGAATCATTCATGAAATGTATACTAGAAAGCAAGAAAGTGTGAGTAATTGCAAAATCATTTATTCCCTGTTTGTTCATTTTATTGTAAGTTTGACAGTGATTTTTTTCATGGGATTTGCATCTTGAGCAATCTCCTGTCGAGGCTTCTAGTGTTTAATATAATAACTGATTGAGAAGAACTAGTCAGATTTAGTTACATTATTGTACGAGAATTTACCCTGCTATACGAAAGGGTGACATAGGTTCAATTCTTACGGAATTCATGTTTAGAGAGAGACACAATGAACTTTAGATGGGACCAAGTCTCACACTTGATCCAATATTTATGGAATACTTTAAGATCTAACCAAGAAGTCCAAAACTCTAAATATGAGATTACATAAGAAAAAAAAAGAGAAGGAAAATGAATTTTAGTGAGTAAACTATGTTCGAGTAATTATTTGATTTCAGAATATATACAGACTAAATTGAGGTCATACCATACAGTAATTTAAATGTGAATTTAGTTTATACATACAATTTGCCTAAATTTAATACTTATGATTTCTAATTGTTTGAGAATAGCATTAAATTATTTAAATAATTGAAATTTAAGTGAAAAACATCAGAGACACATCGATTTTTAATTTAATGCATGTCTCTCACATGACTAGTAAGATCTTAATCTATAAAAATTGGCAATTTTGGAAACCAGGAAATTTTACGAACAGAAAAAATTGTAAAATCATGAGTGAAGTGAATGAAGAGCATAGAGTGGTTTGCTTCCTTGTGAAATTCCTTATAACAGAAGAGAAAAACTAGTGGGGAAGAACAGAGTTAAGACAGGACAGAACAGAACAAAACAGAGCCTTTCCTATGTTTTCGGCTGTGTTGTGTCCAAATTTGGTGATATTGTGATGAAATGAGGTCATCATTACCTCTAAATATGGCAAATCATTTCTGCCAATCCCATTCCCAAATTTTTCTCTCTTTTTGTTACCAACCTAACCTATCACAACATGGGTCACGAAGGTCCTCATCATCTCACCTCCTCATCAGCATCTCTAGGGTCTCCTACATTCCTTTGGAGCCCTAGGTTTTGCTGTTTTATGCTATTCCAATTTCAGAGCCCCGATCTGCAGCTACATGTTCCGCTTAATTAAGTATCATCATTGATCACAACCAATTTCTCTCTCTCTCCCTCTCTGTCTTTTGTTTTCGTTTTTTCGTTGTTGGATAATGTGGCTGTGAAAAATCACATATTTGTTTGACGGTAGTAATCTGGGAAGGAAAATTTATGCCCAAATGTTTTATCTTTTTGAAAAGGGAATCTTAGAACAAAAAATATACAAAATTTGATAACTTTAGCCCCACCGTTTGTTCATCTTCTACCGATCATAAATGCAATTTATGATTGATACTTTTGGAGGATGTACTCTCTTGCTTATTTCTGTGATATTGTGTCGCAATTATCAACATTATGGAAAATTGCGGACAAATATGGTCCCGTTGCGTTGTGGAGACCTCAAAAACCATAATATCAAAGACTATGGTTTAAAACCTTTAACAGCCTGATGTTGCTTAAAACCTATATTTTTTGTTAAATGATTAGTATAATGGCACTTCTATATAATGTTGTTTGAATTCTATTTAATTCTTAGTATAATATGAAAAAAAGAACCGACAAATACTTGTAATGCTTCCTTGTTTTCTGAGTTAGTTGAGAATGAATATTATTTTCCTATAAGGTTTTGTTGCTTCCATGAATACTTGTAATATATAGAGTAGAATATGTTCCATAAAGCTTCATGAATGAATGATCAATAATGGCTTAAAATAAGTCAAGTTTCTCAACATTTTTGTTTTATGTTTGTCTTTCCCATCAACTATGATAAGAATAGTGTCTCCTTTGAACCAAATCTCATCTCTCTTAATATTTATTGTTGACATTATCTCACTTCCCTTTTAGACAGTTCACTGTTTTGCTTTTCTTTTTCTTTTTGATTGTGATTCTAACCCTTATCACTATATTTTACAACCTTTTGTCATAGGTTCCTTGTCAGTGTGGAACCTGGCATATCAACCTAATGGGATTGAAACTTACAAAGCAGGAACCACCCAAAGCTGAGGACCTAAGTATACATCATCACATGATTAATTACCTAACCAAGAATTTTATTCGTAACTTGGTATCTAAGCAACGTAGAAGAATGCTTATAGCTGGTTATGATCTTGACATGTCATATATCACCGATAGAGTATTAGCAATGTCATTTCCTTCTCAACGAATGCGAGCAATGTATCGAAATCCTCTCTGGCAGGTTAAATCTGTGTTGGACATGAGACATTATGAGCATTATAAGGTGCACCTCAACTCATAGTCATGTATAGTGCATATCTTTTTTCTTGTCTACAATGTATTGGAAATTCATCATGATTATCCATACTTGTATAGCGGTACTCTAATTTGTATGTCTATTAAACTATATTGTTCATTTGCATTTTTTGGATATCAATCATTGGTTTTGTTCTATAAATTCAGAATTTCTTTTAGTGTGTCTTTGTCATTTAATCTAGGCTTGGGCATTGGCAGTGTTAGTTTCTTGTACCAATCTTTCAAATGGAACTGATGTGATGTTTATTTGATGAAAAAGACCAGATTTGTCCCCTTGAATTCAGACCAATTATTTGTGTACTTGTGATACATAGAGGTCGCTTGTGGGTTATTATGATTTTCGTTTTTCATTTCTTGTTACTGATATTTACTTTTCTTCATTTGTCTGATATAACTTAAATCTTCATGAAAGTGGATGAAACTATCATTACCTATTTTTTCATGTTTACTGTGAAGACTAATCAATAATCTTTTTCTTGTTCAATCTTCTGACTAGGTATCAATGACAAATGACAGTTGTAGAGGCTGTTGTTTGTACTTATCATTCTACTTGTTTCCTATCCCACTATCACTCATTGTTATAGCTAATGAATACCACTTCTAAAATTTTCAGATCTACAATCTCTGTATAGAAGAAAGTTATGATCCTGCTCACTTTTATGGACGTGTGGAAGCATACCCCTTTGATGATAACCATGTGCCATCTCTTGAAATGGTTAGAGATTTCTGTGAAAGTGTGGATTCATGGCTGTCAAGTGACCCAAAAAATATTGCTGTTATTCATTGCATGGTATGAGAGGTCACACTTCCTGTTAGAATCATTAGCAAATTTCAAATAAGATTTAGAATTCATCACATTAAATTTTGGGGAAATAAATAACTCAATAAATATCACAATATGCTACAAATGGGCTTATGTTGTTATGGACTTCACTTCATCTTCAGAATTAAGCCTTCACTTATCTAAATTAGTTTTAAAGTTGTTTGAAAGTTTGCAACAAATGGCCTTAAGTTCTTATGGACTTATGGCTAGCACTCTTGATGATCCTAGAAGCTTGTATTTGATATTTGATAAAGATTGTGCCGATTTGTTCCACTTTAAACTACGTATAAATCAGAGCCCTCTTAAATATAAATGTCATTTAAAAGTAAGCGAAATTTTGGTTGGATGCTTCCAAGATTAATTAGTTTGCTACAAAGCAGAAAATTATTTAGATGTTAAGTTTACAAGCAAAATACTTTCTCCTCTAGCACATCAAACTACAACTAGCTACATTTTTTCTTATTTGTATTCTTTTACATTATGCAGGCAGGAAAAGGTAGAACAGGATTAATGGTGTGTGCATACTTAACTTATTGCGGCATGTCAGCAGATGAGGCTCTTCAACTGTATGCAGACAGACGAACAACCAATAATGAAGGAGTAAGTTAAATTAGGTATAGTTCCAACAATTTTAAAAGTAAATCTATCTTCACTAACAAAAGTTTTTGCTAATGTTTATCATTTTCAAGAAAGCAATGACTATACACTAATGGTAAACTGATAAGAAATGGTTCTGAATGTGAAAATAATATGTACTTTCTTTCAAATCAAGGAAGTTAATCAAAGAATTTAGTTCACTTAATGTTATTGCCTATGTGGGATCAGGTATCAATACCAAGTCAAAGACGATATGTGGCATATTGGGACAGTCTACTTTCAAATTGTGTCCCAAGACAAACTGGAAATGGAACACTAAAAGTGAAGTTGCCTCCACCGTCTAGCAGAGAATTACGGCGTATCCGGCTTTATGATACAGTCAACATTGACACTATATTCTTTGTCATCTCAGAGCTACAAGAGGCTAGTTCACCACTATTTATGATACAACAATGTTTTTAATACTGCATTATCTTTCTGGAATGGTTTATAAAAGCCACGTTATATTTATTTTCTTGTTGGCATGCTAATTTTCACTTACTGAGGGCATGCTAATTTGGATTGTTTACATGTTAATAGTCTCATTTAGGTTGGAATACTTGTACAAAACTAGTAATTGAGCTAATTATTACTATTATGAACATCCCTAAATAATGAATTAGATATAAAAGTTGGTTTTTATTCTCATCAAGATGGGTTTTGTTCACAGATTCCTAATCAGGTGTATCGTCCACCAGTGGAAGCTTACCGTAGCAGCTGTAGACAGATTAAGAAAGGGTATCAGAGAAACAACAGCCCTCGCTATTATATATCTGTTCTTGAAGATGATAGTGATGGAAAGCAATCAGAAACAGAAGAACCTCGAATTGTAGTTCAAATGGACACAGAGAGTCCTGTTATATACCAGAAGTCATGTTTGGACCATTACTTTGATAAACCTATACAAGTAAGTAATCAATGACCAAGAATTTAGTCTTTTTGTAATCAGTTTCTCTCCTAGCACCCTTGTATTGGTTTTGCTCATTTATGTTTTACAAATTGTGAAAAAATAATATGAAACTGCACAACATCAAGAAGTATTGGTTTTTTGTCATGGAATTCTTTTACTAATATCCATTTTCACTTCTACCAGCAAATGTTCTGATTTCACTTTAAATATTTGGACAGGTAAGTGGAGATGTACGTGTCATATTCTATGAGAAAATGATAGGTGGTCGCCTTTTCTACTGCTGTTTTAATACAGCTTTTATTAAGAACAGCTTGCTTCAGGTAATCTCATCGCATCCTTTATTCTTGGTATTTTTTGTATGCTGATATATTTAGATGGAAGGGAATTATAGCTTCAAATTTGATCAAAACCAAAATAGCAAGAGTATGTCCTTTGTCATGCAAAATCTTTTCAAGGTGAGGCTTATAAAACACTGGTATTATGTTAGTAAGCAAGGAAATGTAAGTGAGTAGACAAAACAAACTAGGTTATCATGATTTAACTACAGGATATTATTTTAGCAATACAGCTTTGAATATGAAATGAACTTCATATGGCATGTCATGTACAGTTAAGTAGAAAATCTAGGGTGTTGACAGTGTTCCCTTTTGAAATTTGTAGCTCACAGTACAAGAGTTGGACAAAGTTGGGAAGAAGGGAAGCTCAATATGTGGTCCTGACTTCTGCCTAGAATTATTGTTTGGTCCTGCTAACACAGGATATTCGTCATCAAATATATCCAATGATGAACACTCTAGTGATGATTCTTTATAATACTATTTCTAAAAATCTTTACATAATATGAAAAGTCCATATCAAATTAACTTGTGTAACGTATTCCTGCAAAATGATCCCAACCATGAGTCCCTCACAGTGCCATGTAGCAAGTGCATTCATTCCTCCAACCGTCTTGCTGTATATGTTTTCATTGGCGAAAGGCATGGGGAGTAAGTGTAATTTTTTGTATTATGTTAGTCATTGAGTAGCATTTGGCTGAAGATGAGGTTGAGAGCCTTTTAATGCAAAATTTCACCAATTTTCTTGTTGGATTTAGTTTCAATGTTTAAACAAATTAAAGAATCATCCATTCGTGTAAAAATACATCAAGGGTTTGATGACAACAGTTTAAAAATTAGCATTCTTATAATGGTTTAGCAACCTTTTAATGATAGTGTAAAGTTCTTTTTACTGAGGGTGGACCAAAAGTAAACACTTTCAGTACAGTTTAGTCCAACATGGAAATATTTTCAGTGCAATTCTATCAAGATTTAGACACTTAATAAAAAAATTAGCAGTTTAGTGATTTTCTGGTACATCTGTTTCGTCCTCGTGGGGCGATTCTCTTATGGTAAAACAAATATCCAGTGCGTTCAAAAAAGGATGTTTGATTAACATTTCTCAGCATTATTATTATGGTCAACACGCCCACCACCTTCGTTTCTTTAGTTAATCAAAAGTCTGAGAAAACAGCTATGCCAATTCAAAGTCATGGTAAATGCAAATTGTTTTCAATGATCCTTTCAAATTTGTTATAATAGAGAATCAGAAGAGATAGATGGAGTTTTGGCACACTTAACATAAATAGTTAGTAGTGATTTATAGAAAGTAATAGGAACCATAAGTTATGGAATGTCATAAGTTGGAAGCGAAAAGAGTTGAAAGGAAATAAAAATGGGTGAGAAGAATGCAAAGATTTTACTCAGGCAAATAAAAAAAAATTAACTTTTCATTTTCTACTCTCATCCAAATAATACATTAGACATGGTAAATGCCCAGAAAAATCCACATAAAGAAAATACCATTACAATTTGGATGGAATCATTCCCCGTTTCTAAGTACATTGGTTAAGGAAATAATCTATACTCTTAAACAAGCGGGTGGTTGGTAAGGTCCCCATTGGAATCTGCGAGCCTTGCCCACCATGTTTCAGCTTAAGCTACTTTGTCGGAATCAATCAGAACAATCTAGTATCTGGTTTGTCTCCTTGTCGAGGACAAACAAGCACACAATCAGAAGAATTTTGACTTCCTCTTGTTGCTGTTAGGTCAATGTTGCTGCTTTACGCGTTGCATAATCCTCCACAATACTGATCGAACTCTTGCTATGGCGGAGTGAAAACTCTGCAAGTAGAATCTGGCATTCTTCTACAGTCAGATCACCATGATGGCCCTGCATATGTTGCAGAAAATTCAGCCCCTAAGATGTCACAAGGCATGCAGCAAACTTTGATGATGGCATAAAAAATTGATTGAACAATAAATCTTTTTTATATCTTTATTTACATGAAAAATCTATTGCGATTGTGTGCTATGCTCACAAATATTTCCAAAAAGTTTCCATTTCCTATTTGTATATGCAGGGATTAAACAGCTCTGATGTGATTTTATGATCCTTTTTGGCTCACTGTTGTTTTCTTTTGGTTCAGGAAACCTGGTTTCCCCTCAACCCCATTTGTACAATTGTATCTTTTATCGGTTCTATCAATTCCTTCTTTGAAACAAGAAAATTCTATGATAAACTTAAATAATTTAATCTATGGGTTTTCACGATTAATCAAATTTAGAAGTACAAAACTGAGAAGCAGCTTTTTCAATTTCCTTGAATTCAGACTAAATGAAATATGCTCTTTAATTCATCAGATGGAGACAGTAAAGAATAAAGATTTGCTAGAATCACTATTAAAATGACAAAATCCAGATATAAGATTCAAATATACGAGTCTTCATTGATCACCTCATAAAGTACATAACTAAAATCATTACCATGCGAGATATTCTATTACAAACAGCATGATGCATGAGGATTCCTGCAGCGACTGAAACATTGAAAGAGTCCACCATTCCTGCCATTGGAATACTGCAGTGCAAATCTGACAACTCCAATGCCTCATCACTAATACCCCTGAAACGTGAACATAATCATTGTTAAATACATACGAAACCTGAACAAAAGTAGAACCTAAGTCACGGGATATATAACAACTATTTAACATTTTCTTTAAAAGTATAGACTGTTGGTGATTCCCTGACCACTTCAGTTAATATTCAGTAAACATGAACAAATGACAGTTCATTGGGCTCACATTTGCGTTGTCTAAAGTATTACACGGAATTTTCTTTATCCAATGGTTTATAAAATTAAGTATAGCACATCAAGAAAAGGCAGGAATTAACATATTTTCATTTCCGACCACGATTGCAGTTGGGTGCGACCAGTCTAAGTCATGAATAGAAACCTATACACAACAAGAAAAATGTTAATAACATAAACTAACATATCAATTGAAAATTTTCAACATTTAGCTTTACAATTTATGATAATGAAAATCAACAATGAATATAAGGCACTAGTATATACTATGATTACAGGCTGCACAAAATATCTCTAGAAATACGCATGTTAGAGATTCAACAAAGTTTTAACTTTTACTTAACACAATACGCACCTTTAACCAGACTTGGGATCATATATGTAAGTATCTGAAACAAAGCACAATAGGCAAAGAAATATAGTATAAACAAATCATACCGCATCCATTCCCACATGAGTAGTGGCAATTCGATAACCACGTGATTTTAACATTTTAAAGCACTCCTTCGTAGAATCCCACAGCTCAATGTCCAACCATTTCTCTGCACCCATGCTTACATGTCGATTATCCTTATACCTGCAACAAGGAAGCCAGACAAAACATTTCAACCAAAAGAGTCTCCTAACTTCAGTTACACTTGATAATAACGAAATCATAACCTAAGACCCATCCCATAATCACCAGAGATAACACTAGCAGTTTCAATAATGCCTAAACAACACAATTCAGAACTCATAATAATAATGCCTTAACATATTTCCGAAACTTAATGCAAATTGACATCAGTTTTCTAATATCTAACAGCACCAGGGACAAAAAAAAATGAAGTCCCAAAAAGGGTATAGTGTCATGACATTAGTTACTAATCCTAAGAAAACTCCAAGGAAGTCTGAAATTTCAAGTTGCTTAATCCCTAAACATACCTTAATATTATTACATAATCAATTTATTTTTTAATTTTGGATTAATGCTATTGATAGATTACACTTATTGATGGATTGATGTTATTTAAAAATGTAACAGTCATATATCCTTTCGGGAACTAAAATGATGTTTTACTCTCTCTAAACTCGAAGCTAACATATCGACATTACTGATTTAAATCACGGCTACTTACTATGAATTATAATACTCTCTGATACGTCAAATCTGAGTAGAAAAACTAAACCTATGAGAGCGAAACGAGAGTGCTCCTAAAATTTCACCTCTACAATGTCAACAACACCTTTTGTTGGTGTCACACGACACGACGTGGACGGACTGAACGCCAAGCGCGTCGGCGGACCGGAAAGCAGCAGAGACGTTGCCAAAGTCGCAGAGCCCTTCGACGACAAGGCAGACGGAATAGCTCCGGTTTCGAACCACGCTCCCAAACCTCCGCCACCGGTCCTCCGATATGCAGGGCGCGAGGACCTCGACGACCTCGGCGCTGGTCAAAACGGTGCCGTTTTGACAGCGAAAGGCATCGAGGTAGGGGAACCAGCGAGGCACATGAGATTGGTGAGGGAGAAGAGGCTTGCGGTCCATCTTCATGAGCGTGGAGACACCGTCGGGGCTGGTGAGGAGGTGTTGGACGGTCAGAGATTGGAGTTCGGATTCTTCCGCGGTTAGGGCTGACGTGGAACATTTCCGAGTGAGGGTTAGACGTTGATGTGGGACGATAAAGGTTCGTTTGAAGAAGGAAGAAGAAGAAGAAGCGAGTGGAAAACACGTGAGGGTTTTGCAAGCACTCATTTGCAGTTGCAGAGTTCAACCACACGATTCTCGTTTTCCGTTGATAACAAAAATAGTAGGAGACAGAGGCAACAAATTTAAAATTAGGGCTAAATATGATTTTTGGTAGTATTCATAGGGTAAAACATGATTGCAATTTAAAAATCATTATTTTATTTAATTAACAACAATTTGGAAATATCACAGTAGCGAAGGGCTGAAAGCAAAACCATACGTTACCCCACAACTGTTAAAGTGGCTATAAAAACAGCACGTAAATAAGGAAACCAAAACAGAGAAAAAAAAACATATACAGAACTGCATTAACCGAAATTAACATGGGATTGTGTTTCTCAGAGAAGGAGAACCATGTTGTGGTGGAAAGAGCCGACACTGAGACCACCCTCCGTGCCATGGTGCTGGGTTCCAACGTGGTGTTTCCCGCGGCTCTAAACGCTGCAATTGAGCTCAACGTGTTTGACATAATTGCGAAGGAAGGTTCAGTGGAGAGTGGTGGGTTCATGTCACCCTCTGAAATCGCTTCCAAGTTATTGATACCAACACAGCAACAACACCGCCGTGATTTGGCCAATAGACTGGAGCGTTTGTTGCGATTGCTTGCTAGCTACTCTCTTCTCACTGTTTCTTCTCGCAGCGACGGAGATGGTGGCAGCGTGAGAGTATATGGAGTTTCCGCATCGGGTAAATACTTCGTGCGTGATGAAAATGGTGATGGTTACCTCGCCTCTTTCACTTCGTTTCTGTGTCACCCTGCATTATCAGGGGTGTGGTAAGTGTTTTCATTGGTAAATTAGTATGTCATTATTTGCAAGATATATTTGTATAAATTGAACTGCACGAAATTTATTATAATATCAGATAAGTATAAATTAACCATTATTTTTACTGTTTAAGTTAATAGCTATGATTTAAAGAAAACTCCTATTAGTAGAGCACCCTGACCAGAAGTGTTTGGAAATAAGAATTGGCTCTTACAGTAATTTGATTCAAGTTGCTCAAGTGCATTGTTTAAATTAAGAGACTGATCTGTTTTTTCATTTGAGATTAAGTAGGTGAAAGAGCGAGGTGATTAAGTTTATATACACGTCCGTTTGTTTATTAAGTTTATATACACGTCCGTTTGTTTAGAGGTTTTTAAACTAGGAATTTGTTTTTATGACAGGGAGATTAATTTAATGAATTTTAATAGAGTTGTCAAAACAAGTTATCTGACGGACCTAGTATGATTCACCACATGTTAGTTACTTAGTGAACTAATCCAATCCAATTCACACTGAGTCAAAATAATTCGAACTCGATTTGGTCTACCTCAAGTTGATGAATTAAATAGATGGGTTCACGCTCACTCAATTGTAAGTTTTTTTAAATTAAAAAAAATATAATTTAAATTTAATTAAATTTTACTTTAAGATGATGTTAAACTCTAAATACAACTCAAAATAAAAAAAATAACATACAATTCAAATGTAATCTAAAAACAAACTCAAAAAGTGAATAAATAAGCTTTTTATATTAATTACTTTTATCTCACTTAAGTTTTGAATGCATAAATTTATAATATTTTGTTCTTTTGAAATATCTTCTTCTTTATCTTCATCTACAATACTATAAGAACATGTTAACTAATAAAAAATCAAAATACAAAATAATAAATAAATAAATTAAACTAAATGGATTGATGTGAACCGAGTTCTAAGTAGATCAGATTGAAAATTGACTCTTATAAAAAAATAACATTTTTTTCAAATCCAACCTCGTCCAAACCTATGGAAGATCGGATTGACCTGCAAATTCTAGCCCATTTTGACCGTGTGAAATCTTAACAATGTAATCTAGATTTAACAACATCAATGTTTTTAAGAATGAAAAAGTAACTTTTTGTTATAAAATCAATATTTTAAGGTAAAAACAGATTATCTATTGATAAAAATAAATAAAACTTACGTTACTTAGACATTACATTATTAGAGTGGATTGTGTAAATGTGAGATGAATTAGTGAGACTCATCCTGAATTCTCTGAATGGGTACTACGGAAAATGCTCTGATTTAAAAGATCATTGTGATGAATTGATTTAACACTCATAATGTAAGCATGAATCTTATCAATGGAGTGATCTATAAGCTTTTGCAATATTTTCTTATTAAAATAAGAAGAAATATGATGTAGAAATTCTGACTTTGTCGTAATGTAGGCTGAATTTTAAGGAGGTGGTTATTGATCCTGAGATTGACCTATTCAAGAAGGTTCATGGAATGTCCAAGTTCGAATACTTTGGGAAATATCCTGAAATAAACCACGTATTTAACACAGCAATGTATGACATTTGCACCACCCACATGAAAAAAATACTCGAAGTATACACAGGATACGAGGGCATATCAATTTTGGTTGATGTAGGAGGTGGAACTGGACAGTGCCTCAAAATGATCATCTCCAAATACCCTTCAATTAAGGGAATTAATTTTGACCTCCCACATGTAATTGAAAACTCATCACCCATTCCAGGTAAATCAATATAAAACTTAATTGTTTCTGGGCATGTAATTGATCAATCAATCACCTTTACCATAACTATGACGGCTTGTTCATTTAGGGGTTGAGCATGTTGGGGGGAATATGTTTGAAGGTGTTCCACAGGGTGACGCAATTATGCTTAAGGTTAACATATTACCTAAACTTCAATGATCTTTTTCTATCAGATGTCTAATGAAGATCCAACCAATTTTTATTTTCTGTGCGTTTGTACTTGGCTAACATTGTTCCAGGCTATAACCCATAATTGGTCCGATGAAAAAGTCATAGAACTTTTGAGCAATTGTCACAAAGCTTTGCCACCAAAGGGAAAGGTCATTGTTGGGGATTTCATACTGCCAGAAGATCCAGAACCCACAAATGAACATAAAATGATTTCAATTCTTGATAACATCATGTTTATTACTCCTGGTGGAAGGGAAAGAACTGAGAAAGAATTTGATAGTCTGGGCAAGAGTTCTGGATTTTCTAGGTTTGAAGTTGTCTGTCGAGCTTTCTCTACAATGGCGCTGATGGAATTTTACAAATAAGTAAACCATGTCAGTAATAATTTGGCAGTTTAAATTCGAATAAAGGGAACATGAATTTCCTTATGCCAATATTGTACCAAATAGTGAGTAAAAAAAATATCTTTTGATACATATGTTTTTATATTCTGCTTAACGTGATTCTGCCATTGTTTGAACTATCACTAGACAAAAGTAAATGAGTAGGTATAAGATATAACAGATGACGAATGAATGACTGAAAGCATATCAAGCCAAATCTTAGTATAAAAGTTCGTTTTAAGGAGTACATTTCTATGAAACAGAAAAAGAGTCAAGAAGAAATATTGCTTTTTGAGATGACATCAAAGGATATTCCATTTTGTTGAAGTCTTTCCTGGAGATCAGTTGGACCAAAGATAATCCCAGGAGGGTAAACTCCTCCTTTTGGAAGGTTCTCGCGTTGGCTGAGAAGAATGAGAGCACACTGAATAAGAATTATTGGTGTAGTTAAATATCCAACTTCAGGTCCCATTACCCTTGTTACAATCTCCATGTTAGGTTTTGTGTTTCCCTGAGCAGCAATAGTCCTATCAGTAAAACCATGTCCAACAAACCACATCTTGAAGGAAGCACTTGCCACCTCCTCTTCAGAGGGGCCCTTCTTCCTGAACCAACCAAGGCTGAATATTTCAGGAAATTTCAAAAGAAGCCCCCTTCCAAAACTAGTGCTTCCTAAAAGACCAATGAAAACTCCAACCATGATGATTCGGAGAATGCCCAACAAAGATTTTGTGCCTATTTTCACACCAAAATGAGCTGGCTTCACAGTTGACCAGAAGGCTTCTCTTTTCTCAACCATTTCAGCACTCTCACTCAGCCCAGGGAGACCCTGGGGGTTTTCTGTCAGAGTTGACAGAGTTCTCCGAACTACAATTGAATCTGCTGAAGGTAGCTTCACTGCCCAAAGGCCAATTTTCCTCTGGTTCTCTATAGTTTCTCCTTTTGAAGGAGGAGGTCCAGGGATCTACAACCATGAAAATGTAAGTTCTTAAATGAAACAATTTTAACGAGTTAGTAGTCAACACTATAAACAATAACTTAAGTTAATCTCCGTCAAAGACATGGTCATTAAATTAGAAAAAAAAAAGCAAGAAAGAAGGGAAAAAGGATGATAGTGTGCTCAAGTAATTATAGATCTTACGAAAAAATATGACAATAATCCACTATGAAAGTAAGAACTAAGAAGCATACTTTTACACGACAGCATATTTTCCGTTAACAAGAATTTGCACAGATAACAATAATCGAAAACAACATTTACACATAATACCTGTCCAATTCTCATTCATATATACCTTGTACAACTCTAGGAGACACCTTCTAAAATCAGATTTCTATAATAACTAAATGAACTTCTATTTTTCTGACAATGTATATCTATAATTGTTATTTCCATAGCCATCATTTACAGATACCGGTAGGCAGCAGGTGAATCCAAAACACTGTAGTGGGATAGCATCCAGCAAGAATGCTACTATTTTAAATTTGTTTACATATTCAATAATTATTACTAGACACCTATAGATGCTGAAGAATTGAAAAAGAAAAAGAAAAATCCATGAAGTATTTATTATCAACAATAAAAAGTTAAACATCTCAAGCAACACATACAAGTATAGCAACAAAATCAAGGAAATAAACGTGTCTTGAAGTAACCCAACATTAAAATTCAAATAAAAGTTTTTTAATATCACTTTCGTTACTGCTAAAGTTCTATAGATCTTTTCTTATCCCTCGTTTTCAGTTTCATAACATCCATGACCTTCTGTGGTTATGTTGATTTTGAATCCAAGAAAAAAAAAATAGTGGGAAAAAAAAAAGAACAAGAAATGGTAGTGTCACCTGAGGCCTAGGTTTTCTAGGCCGCGACCTTCTGAGTTGCTGCAACTTGTGCGCATTGGCGACGCCGAGAACCGCGGATTCGTAAGTGGCAAAGTTTCCCACAATCCTCTTCTCCGATTCCAGCGCCACGTAAGCCTCCACGCGGTTCGGCGCCGCGGGCTCCACCCACTGCCTCGAGTTGAACATCACGCCGAGCTCCGCGGGCACGGAGTCGAAGCCGCAAGCCGAGATCACAAGCGCCCCGCTCTCCTTCGCGTGGTCGTGGTACGCGGCCTCGACGCGCTCCATGAACTCGGGCTCGCCGGAGATGTCAAGGTAGTCGCAGCCGGCGGCCGCGCAGGCAGCGACGACAGGCTCGCCGTGGAGGCGGAAGGGACCGACACAGTTGAGGAGGAGGCGCGTGCGGGCGCAGAGGGCGCGGAGGGAGGAAGGGTCGGAGGTGTCGGCGGTGAGGATGGGGAGCGAGAGTTGAGCGTTGGGCCGGGAGGCCCATTCCAGGGCCTGGGAAAGCTTTCGTGGGCTTCGGCCCGCTATGGCGATGGACTTGAGCGGCGAGGATGGGGTGTTAAGGAATTTGATGGCTTCTCGGAGAACGTATTTGCCTGTGAATCCCGACGCCCCAAGTATTACAACATCGAAACGGCCACCGTTTTGTTCTTCTTCCATTTCTGCAACAAGTAAGTAACCCAACCACACCACACTCTTCTTCTCCTCGACTTTCGGTGGTTCCCCCAATAAATATGTATTTATGTGTGATTATTCTTCGATAATTGTTTTATAATATGCAATATTTGCCCTTTTACATGTTTATTATGGTGATGGTAATCTAAATCCCAAGTCCTTTTTGAACGAGCTACAGATTTAGGAATTGTGTAAATTGAGTAGATGTTTGGTAGCTGAGTTAGATTAAGTTCAATTGAAATCCGTTAATTAGGACAATAATATTCATTACTTTTAAGGCAAAAAATTTGGACAGTTAAACATACCAAAAGACAATAATTAGGAAAATAATTATAATTTACAACGCTGACAGATAGTAACTGTCACATTTGAGTGCTTCATCCTACACCTCCAACATCTCATCCTGCACCTCCAAAAATTCCATTTTTAACCTTCTGACATCCTACACCTCCAATTTTTAACTTTATTCTCTTTATTATTAAAAATATTTTAATAACTATATTTTTATTTTCTTCTCTTTTTTATTAAAGACACTCTGCACCACCTTAAAATTAATTCTAATTTAATTTAAAATTTAAATATTATTTAATATAATTTTATATTTTAATAATTATTAAAATATTATTTATATTATAATAATAGCTATATTAAAAAAATAAAAATAAAATAATTAAAATAAAAATAAAAATAAAATAATAATAATAATATAAAATTTCACTTAATATATTCAAATATATTAAATTATATTAAAATATTAAAATAAAGTAAATAATTATTAAATTGTAAATAAAAACAAAAATTTTTAAAAATTTGTTATCAAAAATCAGTTTTGTTTTTTATTTAAAATTTAATCAATATTTAATTTAATTAAAGTTATAGCATTATTTATTATATTTTTATATTTTAATAATTATTAAAATATGATTTATATTTTTATAATAGTTTTATTAAAAAATAAAAATAATAATAACTAAAATAAGAGTAAAAGTAATAAAAATAAAAATTATATTAAAAATCACATTTAATATATTTAAATATATTAAATTATATCAAAATATTAAATAAATTAAATAATTATTAAAATTTAAATAAAAAGTAAAATTTTAGAAACGGTAATCGGATATTGACCTCCGATAAATTTATAATCGGATATGGATATCCGATAAATAAATTCTTCTAAAGTTTTGATTTTGATTTTTATTTTAATAATTATTTAATTTAGTTTAATATTTTAATATATTTAAATATATTTAAATATATTAAATGTGATTTTTAATATTATTTTAGTTATTTTAATTTTTAATAAAACTATTATAAAAATATAAATTATATTTTAATAATTATTAAAATATAAAAATATAATAAATAATGCTATAATATTTAGTTAAAATAAATATTGATTAAATTTTAAATAAAAAACAAAACTGATTCTCGATAACAAGTTTTTAAAATTTTTTGTTTTTATTTACAATTTAATAATTGTTTAATTTATTTTAATATTTTAATATAATTTAATATATTTGAATATATTAAGTCAAATTTTATATTATTATTATTATTTTATTTTTATTTTTATTTTAATTATTTTATTTTTATTTTTTTAATATAGTTATTATTATAATATAAATCATATTTTAATAATTATTACAATATAAAATTATATTAAATAATATTTAAATTTTAAATTAAATTAGAATTATCATTAAGGTGATGTAGAGTGTCTTTAAAAGAAAAAGAGAAGAAAATAAAATGTCTTTAATTAGAAAGAGAAGAAAGTTAAAAATGAAATTTTTAAAAAGGTTGGAGGTGCAGAATGTCAGAAGGTTAAAAATGGAATTTTTAGAGGTACAGGATGAGATGTTGGAGGTGTAGGATGAAACACTCGTCACATTTCGATTCACATCACCTTTCTTCTGGACATAAGCCCAAGAACTTCATCCCAAAGACCAACACTTCCGACTCTCCCAAGCCCAACAACACTTGGGCTACAGGCAGCCACGGTCCAATAGCCAGCCCTTATCTCATCTCTGAGTTGCTCTCTCTCCCAGCCACAGTAGCCATCAAAGAACCTAAACTCCCCAAGCCCAACGACATTTCTCTTGACCATTTCCGCAGCACAACCCACACTCTCTTTTGCCCCATAATACAAGCCCTTCATCACTTCCTCAAACACCCCACTCTTCCCCACCCCGTCATCACCACCCTCACCCTCACCCTCACCCTCTTTTGGACTCAATAGAAACAGCCCTTCCTCCAAGGGTCCCCCAAAGAACAAGGGACTGTTGGAAAACGTCCCCTCCACATCTAGCGCCGTTGATCTCGTCTCTTTGATGGACATCAGGGACGGTCTATTCAGGATGATCCCTGATGGCCCTATGGGCCCGGTTGACAGCAGAAGGATCACCGTCCGCTCGAAGATGTGGACCCCATCCAGCTTTTCGGTCGCAATTAGCAAGCACCCCTTTTCCGGCTCGTGGATTACGTGGGCCCATTTATCGGCAATGGTGATGGCTGGAGGATGATCCACCACAGTGTCTGGATCATTCACCTTAGAAACCTCCTCCGGCCTTTGCAACTGCTCTCCTGCCACCAGTTTTGCACGGAAAGATCGCCAATCACCACTCAGTCTGGGCTTCTCATCATCATACAACGGTGACGATGATGACATGTGGCAACCTATCATGAGATTTCAAGCTTTTTTAAGATTAAAAACATTGTATTAAGAGGAAGATGTTAGTGTGAGGAACTTACATGATATGGGAAATGGGGTTCTAACTTTTGTAGAGTGGAAAGGTTGAGAAGATCGCTTGGAGTTTGATAGAGAGGCGTTTCTGGTAGTGGGGATGAGTTGATCTGTGGATATGGCGAAGGAATTGTGGGAGAGAAAACATGCTTCCATGTTTGTTGAGTTGTTTGTTTTTGAACAGATAATAAGAGTGAAATGAAATGAAGTGATGAGAATTTGGTGGAATGTGTATAAATGTAGAATGAGGCTTAATGTGAACCACAAAATTTTTTTGTACGGCATCTACATCCTTTTTGTTTTGTTTTTTTGACAGTGGCATCTAATCCAAGTTGGGTGTCTCTGAAGTATGGGCCATTGGATAGAGTTTGATAAACACGTAGGGTTCTCCAGAGCTTTATTTGGTAGTGTTGGATGGATCAAACCCTTTTTCGGCTATGTGTCAACTTCTTTGCCACTAACTTGTTTCTACACCAACTTCCAACTTTGAAATTGTTCACAACTTGTAGACGTTGGAAACTGTCATAGAGAAGTACACGTAGGATTCAAAAGATAAAAAGAGAGTAGGATATTAGTCTTGTATTACTATTAGACTCAAATTTATCTCTTATCATGCTCAAGTACCCAAGACCACCCAATGGGTCAGTTTCACAACATTAATGTCCATGGATGATGAGAAAGTTTATCATTTGATTAGCTGTTTATTTTGATTTATCATTCAAAACAATCCAGTTGCATGATAAGATTATTATGATCCCAATATAGAAAATGGTGCTTGCATTTATTCATGAGAGGATTGGTATACTTTAAATTGGATTAAACTATTATAGCAAGATGAATCTTGAAGATCCGAAATACTAGCTTATATCTCATGACCAAAACTAATCCTTCTTTCAGATCCTCACATAACATATGTAGAGTCTACCCACCTACTGGCCCAACATGAAATTAAAATAAAGAGCTAGGTTGATTAATTTTGTTTATATCACCTTATATAAATAAATGATTATTTAAAACATATTAGTATTTAATAAATTAACAGTATTCAACTTTTCTATTGACACGGTCTTTTGATTCTCGAAGCCGTGACTCAATTACGTGTTATCTATTCAGCAAACCCAAATTGAAATTCACCGAACCTTCACTTTTTTTTAAGAAATTAAGCTGAAACTTTCTGAGGATTCGTCAAAATTACCATGACACTCCTTTTATCCATAATCCAATATATTTATTTGTTTGAAAAACAATGGACACCCCTTAATTGTTTGACAAATATTACGTTATGTATTCCTTGAGGTTCCTTCAGACTTTTGAAAAAAAAAATTAAGTGATTTATTTTTATTTTTTTCATGTCATTGTTGGAAGCAAAGATAATATATTAAGTAATTTGTTGAACAGACGTAATCTAACCTTATAGAGTAATTAGAATGAAAGCTACTTAATAAATTTACTATAAAAATAATTGTAAGATTTATATGGGGTAACAAATTGTCATAATATCATAACTATATTATCTATTTTTACAAAATAAGGTACTTAATTTTTCTAGAGCTTTTATATAAGGAATATTTGGCACAGGTTTTCCTTTAATTGAAAAGAAAACAAAAAGCTAGAAATAAGCCAGGCCAAACATACCTAGTACACTACCCAGAGAAAATAATTCAGAATCAAAAGTCTTAGTCGGATCAGCCACCAAATGTATCGAATAACATTTAATGCAGAAAATGAAAGGGGTTTCAAGCTACTTACTGTTCAGAGTGTCATCATGAGATCTTTTGGCCATCATGAGAAATTAACAGGGATGGATAAACATAAAAAGCATACGCTGAGAGAGAAGTTAACACAGAAAAACACATGTTAAATGTAGAGCAGCGTGCATATTAAAGATAGCAAGTGGCTCTGGAAATAACCCCACTGAAGTAAAGTTTAATAAAAAAAGGCTGAATTGGTTCCGTGCTATTGCCAACAGCCAGCACACACAAATATAGGTAGAGTCCAGAGAATTGCCACCCAATATACATATGTTAAGTGTAGCTTCTTTTTACAAGTTGTAGACAGGAAGATCGGAGCATTTTCTCTTTGCAACTTTCCCTTACATTACCTTTACTAAAAGATCTCCTGCAGCATTAGTAGGAATGCAGATGATGCTTGCACCATAAGCATTGGTTCTTCCATTTATACAACTTTGTTGCCGAACAAGTGGTTGCGACCAATAACATGATTTGTATACTCGTTTTTCGCAAAACAAGCAATGCGCTGAGCATAGCACATAATCACAATTGATTTTTCGTGTAAATAAAGATATAAACAAGATTTATTGTTCAATCAATTTTTTATGCCATGATCCAAGTTTGCTGCATGCCTTGTGACATCTCAGGGACTGAATTTTCTGCAACATATGCAGGGCCATCATGGTGATCTGACTGTAGAAGAATGCCAGATTCTACTTGCAGAGTTTTCACTCCGCCATAGCAAGAGTTCGATCAGTATTGTGGAGGATTATGCAACGCGTAAAGCAGCAACATTGACCTAACAGCAACAACAGGAAGCCAAACTTCTGATTGTGTGCTTGGCTGCTTGTTTGCCCTCGACAAGGAGACAAACCAGATACTAGATTGTTCTGATTGATTCCACAAAGTAGCTTAAGCTGAAACATGGTGTGCAAGGCTCGCAGATTACAATGGGGACCTTACCAACCACCGGCTTGTTTAAGAGTATAGATTATTTCCTTAACCAATGTACTTAGAAACGGGGAATGATTCCATCCAAATTGTAATGGTATTTTCTTTATGTGGATTTTTCTGGGCATTACCATGTCTAATGTATTATTTGGATGAGAGTAGAAAATGAAAAGTTAATTTTTTTTATTTGCCTGAGTAAAATCTTTGCATTCTTCTCACCCATTTTTATTTCCTTTCAACTCTTTTCGCTTCAAACTTATGACATTCCATAACTTATGGTTCCTATTACTTTCTTTAAATCACTACTAACTATTTATGTTAAGTGTGCCAAAACTCCATCTATCTCTTCTGATTCTCTATTATAACAAATTTGAAAGGATCATTGAAAACAATTTGCATTTACCACCATGACTTTGAATTGGCATAGCTGTTTTCTCAGACTTTTGATTAACTAAAGAAACGAAGGTGGGGGGCGTGTTGACCATAATAATAATGCTGAGAAATGTCAATCAAACATCCTTTTTTGAACGCACTGGATATTTGTTTTACCATAAGAGAATCGCCCCACGAGGAAGAAACAGATGTACCAGAAAATCACTAAACTGCTAATTTTTTTATTAAGTGTCTAAAACTTGATAGAATTGCACTGAAAATATTTCCATGTTGGACTAAACTGTACTGAAAGTGTTTACTTTTGGTCCACCATCAGTAAAAAGAACTTTACACTATCATTAAAAGGTTGCTAAACCGTTATAAGAATGCTAATTTTTAAACTGTTGTCATCAAACCCTTGATGTATTTTTACACGAATGGATGATTCTTTAATTAGTTTAAACATTGAAACTAAATCCAACAAGAAAATTGGTGAAATTTTGCATTAAAAGGCTCTCAACCTCATCTTCAGCCAAATGCTACTCAATGACTAACATAATACAAAAATTACACTTACTCCCCATGCCTTTCGCCAATGAAAACATATACAGCAAGACAGTTGGAGGAATGAATGCACTTGCTACATGGCACTGTGAGGGACTCATGGTTGGGATCATTTTGCAGGAATACGTTACACAAGTTAATTGGATATGGACTTTCCATATTATGTAAAGATTTTTAGAAATAGTATTATAAAGAATCATCACTAGAGTGTTCATCATTGGATATATTTGATGACGAATATCCTGTATTAGCAGGACCAAACAATAATTCTATGCAGAAGTCAGGACCACATATTGAGCTTCCCTTCTTCCCAACTTTGTCCAACTCTTGTACTGTGAGCTACAAAAATACAAAAGGGAACACTGTCAACACCCTAGATTTTCTACTCAAGTGTACATGACATGCCGTATGAAGTTCATTTCATATTCACAGTTGTATTTCTAAAATAATATCCTGTAGTTAAAATCATGATAACCTAGTTCGTTTTGTCTACTCACTTATATTTCCTTGTTTACTAGCATAATACCAGTGTTTTATAGGCCTCACCTTGAAAAGATTTTGCATGACAAAGGACTTATTCTTGCTATTTTGGTTTTAATCAAATTTGAAGCTATAATTCCCTTCCATCTAAATATATCAGCATACAAAAAATACCAAGAATAAAGGATGCGATGAGATTACCTGTAGCAAGCTGTTCTTAATAAAAGCTGTATTAAAACAGCAGTAGAAAAGGCGACCACCTATCATTTTCTCATAGAATATGACACGTACATCTCCCCTTACCTGTCCAAATATTTAAAGTGAAATCAGAACATTTGCTGGTAGAAGTGAAAAGGGATATTAGTAAAAGAATTCCATTAGCAAAAACCAATACTTCTTGATGTTGTGCAGTTTCCTATTCTTTTTTCACAATTTGTAAAACATAAATGAGCAAAACCAATACAAGGGTGCTAGGAAAGAAACTGATTACAAAAAGACTAAATTCTTGGTCATTGATTACTTACTTGTATAGGTTTATCAAAGTAATGGTCCAAACATGACTTCTGGTATATAACAGGACTCTCTGTGTCCATTTGAACTACAATACGAGGTTCTTCTGTTTCTGATTGCTTTCCATCACTATCATCTTCAAGAACAGATATATAATAGCGAGGGCTGTTGTTTCTCTGATACCCTTTCTTAATCTGTCTACAGCTGCTACGGTAAGCTTCCACTGGTGGACGATACACCTGATTAGGAATCTGTGAACAAAACCCATCTTGATGAGAATAAAAAACAACTCTTATATCTAATTCATTATTTAGGGATGTTCATACATCCTACAGATGTGTTGGGGAATAGTAATAATTAGCTCAATTACCAGTTTTACACAAGTATTCCAACCTAAATAATCATATACATGTCTTGAAGCATCAAATCAGCTGTGCTGTGCATGCTAATGCAACCAATGATTTCATTCGCCTCTATTGCTGTATCATTGGAACAGATCCAACCTGTTGGAGGTCTTCTACCAATCTGTCAATCATCCGATATATATAATCTGATTTAGGGTGTGACCGATCAAATACAGTAAATTCATGCACTTCTTCCTCTACCTCTATGAAACTAGCCCCTGAAGGCTTTTGACTTCCTGTATTCTTCATTTGTAACCTTACATTGGCCACATTCATCCAATCTCCTGCTTGAGCATAAATATTTGACAGAAGGGAGTAATTCCCAGCATCTGATGGCTCCAACTTAAACAGTTGTTCACACACGGCTCTTGCAAGATCTACATCATTATGCATACGACAAGCATTTAGAAGAGTGCCCAATATAATGGCATTTGGTTCCATAGGCATGCTGTGCAGAAGTGTGAAAGCTTCTTCTAGGTGTCCCCCACGTCCAAGAAGGTCCACCATGCAACCATAATGCTCAATTTCAGGAACGATCCCGTACATTTTCTCCATTGAATAAAAGCATTTGCGCCCTTCGTTAACAAGTCCTGCATGGGTGCAAGCACACAAGAGGCCAATAAATGTACATCTATCTGGCTCAAAACCTTCGTCTACCATCCTAGAGAAAAGCTCAAGCGCTTTCTTGCCATGTCCATGCAGGGCAAACCCCTGGATCATGGAATTCCAAGACACCAGATCTCTCTTCGCCATCATTCCACTAAAGACTTCAGACGCAGCATCCAAACAACCACACTTCGCGTACATATCAATAAACGCATTCAACACCTTACTGCTACATCTAAACCTCCACTTCTTCACAGACGCGTGAATTCTACTCCCCAACTCAAGCATTCCAGATTCAGCACAGGCAGCCAAAATACTAAACAAAAACCCATCATCAGGCCTCAACCCAGCCTCCTCCATTTTCCCATATAACTCGGTCGCCTCCCTCGCATTCCCCTTCTCAGCATACCCCGCTATTATCGTCGTCCAAAGCACCACATTCTTCCCCGGACACCTATCAAACAGCACCCTCGCCATATCCATGTCACCTGCCTTACTATACCCACAAACCATAGTCGACCATGAAACAACATTCCTCTCAGGCATTCTCTCAAACAGCTCAAACGCCTTCTCCATCTCCCCAGCCTTGGTGTACCCATCCAACATCGTGTTCCAACTAACCGTATCCCTTTCAGGCATTTCATCAAACAGCTTGCACGCACACTCCAATTCTCCAAATCGGACCAACCCACCAATCATGGAGTTCCAAGTGACCACATCCCTGTCCTCCATGACCAAAAACAAGCTCATGGCCGCATCAAGCCCGGAACTCCCGCACCTGGAATACGAATCAATGAGTGAATTGGGCACGAAAATATCTCCGTAGAGACCAAATTTTTCAACATGGGCATGAATCATTCGGACCAAGGGAAGCGAGGAAGAGTCGATACAAGCCTTAAGGAGAGAAGGGTAGGTAAAGTTATCAGGAAAGAGACCGCTTTTCTGCATTTGGAGGAAAGCGTTGAATGGTAGAGATGGGTGTGAGTGGTTATTGGCGTGAGCTCTGATGATGGAATTGTAGAGGTGGACATTGGGGTGGGGAAGCTGGTTGAAGACGTTGACGGCGGAAGTGAGGTGGCGGCAGAGGGAGAAGGCGGCGATGAGTTTGGGAGCGACGAAGAGGTCATGGTGTAGATTGGCTTTGAGAATTTGAGCAAAGATTTGGTTGACATGGTTGAGGTTGGTGCACTTGTGGAGGTGGCAGAGCTTCTCTTCCAGTAATCTCCGACGAGAAAACCATGTGGGCACTCTCCCTCCCATCGGAACTTGCATTTGCATAACCACTCAAGCACCGGAACTTGTGATCTCGGCTTGCGGCTTCGACTCCCCGCGGAGCTCGGCCTGATGTTCAACTGGAGGCAGTGGAGGATAATCAATATAAGAGTAGAAGAAAAGGTTAGATCTTTTGGGCATAAAGTGTTCTGGAATTAATATAAGGACCAATTGAATCGAGATGTTTATAAATTGCTGAAGAGCGTAGCTCCCTCCACGGCCTTCTCACGTTCTTTTATTTTCAAAACTATATTTCGGTTAAAAAGTTAAAAAAAAATTACTTTCAAAAATAGATAAAACTATTATATATTCGATTATACCTACTAATTATTATTCAAATTTAGTTCATTAATCTTTTAAATTTAAATGATAAAAATTCTTAAAGTAAGTAGAAGAAGATTGAATTGACATGAGATGGAATACAACTGCTGCGTCTAGAAAATATAAATGAGATGAAACTAGGTTTGAAAAATAAATTAAAAATTTATAATAAAAGAAAAAAATTTAACCTTTAATTTTTGGAAATAAAAAAATTTAAGAAGGTGTAAGGAGCACTGAAATGATTTAGATAGGCCCATTTGTGTTGACAAAGTCCACTTCCCAAATTCTTTTTGGACTTTCATTATGAATTCTAGTACATTTCAGAAATACAATTTTACCTTATAATTTAAAATTTTTATTTTAAATTCTAGACAATCCAGAAATGTTTTGACTGCACAATATAAAATAAACAATTTAGATTTTAGATTTTACTTTCAAAATACAAAATTATATTTTAGATTGTATGTTTCAAAATATAAAATAAAAAATACATTGTGGAATGTACAACCTAATGTGTATATACATTCTATAAACGAAATATAATTTGTTTTTATTTTAGAATATAAACTTCTGTTTTAGAATATACAACCCAATGTATCAATTTATATTTTAAAATATACAACCTAATATGTATAAATTTATATTTTTGACTAAATATTTAAAACACAAAATTAAATTTCTAATTATACATTATAAATAAATAAATAAAATACATTTTAAATTATATAATACGAATTACATGCAAAATTTAAAAATAAATTATTAATTATAGAATTCAAATATCTTTTGAAATAAACGTATACAATAATAAACACAGAAATAGTTAACCCCTTCATCCCACATTGTGTCAGAAACAAAATTCAAGGAAGAATGAAAGAAATGTGTGCATAGGAAGAAGGAAAAAAATAAAGTCAAAATGGGTCATTTTACCATCCCACCTCACGGATACAGATTGGAATTACATGGTACAGAAATAAATGACCTTCAGTTACTCATTACAGTGTGCAGAAAAATAAACAAATGACAAAATAGCATGCTAATGCAGTGATAGGATTAAAAAATTTATGTCATTTTTTATTTAGTCGTTTTTTTAGTACGATCATTTGTTTTAAATGTTTACTTTTATTTGAAACATTTTGTTTATATGTTCTCAGTTTTGCTTGCTATTTATTGATAAAAGTAGTATTTCTTTTTCTTACTTCATACTTCTAATAGTTTGATAATTATCAGTCTTAATGGATACTCTTAAGAAAACCATGTTTTTTTACTTTGCTTAATTTTCTACTCACAATAATTTATAGTTTTATTATTATTGTACCATACAGTCTAAGTATTAGATTTTCGATTTAGACTATCTATAAAGGTCGTCCACACAAATCGACTATCTAAGTCGTTCGTCTAGGTCGTGCTAGTATGATATAATAATATAGTCAAATTATTAGTGGTAATGACTCATTAAGTTCCTAATGCAGATTACTATATGATTGGACAATCATTAGACCAACAAAAGATAAAAACTCATTACACCTTACTGACTTAGCATCGAAGTGTCTTTGACAGAACCCACGCGGCTTGGACAAAAAAAAAAAAGAGCAAACAATATAACTTGAATGATGGAGGATCATTAGAGAGTTCATTCTGCCTTTATGAAAACTTTGAGTGGTTTAAGTAAAGAATCTCAATTTCATATCCAAAATAAATATTTATCGATCTTAATCCTAACTTATTAGTTAATTAAATGTTTGACTTAAGCCTTATTAATTTTTAAACCATATAGTATATTGATTTCTCTGAAATACGACGAGTTTTGAGAAAAAAATATTTTTTTGCATAATTATCATTAGGTATAAAATCTGTTATTATTTATTTCTTTTATTTTTAATAATAAAATAGTAATTTATTTAACCAATAATTGTCTTACACAAAATAAATAAATATATATATATATATATATATATATATATATATATTATCTTAAATTATAAATAATTTAAAATGGATAGAACACGTTTTTTAAACGTCGAAATATTACTTGAGAGAAACAACTAAGTTTCGTAACTGTCAATTCTCATAAATCACTTTCATGTAGAAGGAAAGAAAAACGTTAATTAGTTAACTTTGTATAGGCATAATATATTAATACTATTGATGACTATTAGATAATAATATATCATCAGAGGAATAATTTACACAACACAATTTTAATTGTGTATGGATTTCTATATCTCAATGAAATCTTATGAAATTTTTGATTAACCAAGTTTGTTTTAAGAACAAATTTTGTTATGAATGTCAAAATATAATTTCATCACAAAATTATATATATATATATATATATATATATATATATATATATATATATAAAAGTTTATGAAAACAAATTCGTCTAATATTTAATGTTATTTTTATTTAACTAGCAGTATATAGAATACTTATCTAATATATATATTGTTATGCTTATATAATGTTTATGGATGATAATGTTCATTTCTGTTTATTTTATGTTTTTATTGTTATGAATAAATGAACTATTTTTTAATTTTTGTGGAAGTTTTTATGTGGAAAATTTTAATTTGTTTTATCAGTGATATATTGTGTGAAGGTTTGAAACAAAATGATCTTAAGGGGATAAATCTCTATCTATAGAATAAAATGTGCTCATGTTAGGAAACAAAAGACACAACCATTACTGCACACATTTTCTACTAATGAGAAACACATAATATCTATTCCTCCTAATCAGATCAAGGGAGTGCTCAGAAGAACTTTCACCAAACTTATTTCAACTTATCTTCTCATATTATAACAACTTAAAGCTGAAAATCCCTAACATCTACTGTACAAACAATACTATTTATGTTTAACTCAGCAGTCTTTTCAGTCAATATGCAGTATTAATAGTAAATAAGCTCACTGCCCTAAGTAAAAAAAAAGTAGATGAAAAGATAAAATAACTTCTATACAAAAAATAATAATAATTTGTATACACATATAACAACAAAATAAATATAACAACAAAATAAATATAAATACAAAATAAATTAAAAATATCAATAACTAAAAGCCTAATTTTATAGATATTTATCAAAATAATAATAAAAAATATTAAAATAAATTTATTAGTATCTTCGTTTCTTATATTATAATAAATAATTATAAATTCAGCATTTTAAATTCAATCCTTTTACTTTTAACGAGTTCTTAAAGACGAAAAGAACTTACAATTTTTCCGTCCAAAAACTACTTAAAAAAATGAAATGTAATAAAATTTTAAGATTAACGGTGTCTCCAGTTGAGAGGTAGGAGATGATGAATTTAATATAAATTACTGACAGAAGAAAAACAAATCACTTTATATATTCAAACAAATACATTTAAATTTTATTATATTTCTTATCTCTTTTATTTTCGTCCAATTTATCTTCACATTTCCTTCACACAAACAAATGAACAGTTTAATCTATCATTTAATGATATTTTAGTGTATGTTTTACAAACCAATTAAATTCACTACTGATATAAACCCAATATTAGATCAACCAACCATTTGAATCTGTTTTAAACAAATAAAAATAAAAAATATTTAAAAGTTAAATCTCATCAATAAAATCAATTTTCTCTTTTTTTATTAAATTATTTTAATAAAACAGTATCAGTCCTATTTTTCAATTATATAATTATTAGTTGAGAAAAACGAGACTGACCCACGAGTCTACGAAGTAGACCAACCTAGACTTATATAACCTAAACGTCTTAAGACAAAAAAAAAAAATAATATGTTGACAGTGAAAGTGTGGCATTTGGCAAGTTGGTTGGAAGCACGTTTTGCCAAATACATGTATTAGCAAGTGGCAGTGTCATGCCATTTCACCAACTAACCAAACTCAACTTGCTTTATACCAAACTATCTCACACTTTCATATTCATATACCTCAAACTACAACATTCTATAAAAACATTCTTAATCCACTCACTTCACTTCTCTACTTTTTATCAAACTCATTCTAAAAAAACTCTCAACTCTACTTTATTATTTTATTATTATAATGCATATAAGGATAACTAAAGTATGTGTAGATTAATACAAGTGATTTTCTATTTTAAAGGTAATTAATACCCACATTGAACACAACTCATCATCCAAATTTCAAGTATTCACATTAAGATTGGAAAAGAAAATTCACTAGAAAAGACTTTAGACGTATGTTATTTTGGATTTTTAACGTCTCATCTCTGTCCATCGTCTATATAGGTCAGACGTTTATATAGACGTCGAGCCTATATAGGTCAGACGTCTATATATATGTAGGGTCTGTATAGATTAGACATCTATATAGACGTCCGATCCATATAGGCCAGGCAATATGAGGTTGCTCCTGACTCTTGGTGATTTGAGTTTACAACTTTATATTTTAGTTGAAGAGAATGTATTGTACATTTTTTGTTGTATTAGATGATTTTAAATTGGAAGAGTGCAAAACACGAGAAATCGCCGCCGAAAAATGCCGCCTAAGGACACGAAAATAACTGCACCAAAACCCAACGAAAACGCATTTTAATCGGTTCAAATGAAAGATAATGCATCAAAGAGTGATGTAATCCGAGTAAAATTAATTTAAAACGGTGCAAAAGTGAGAAAACGAACTTGAAAAGCGTAACCCATAGAGAGAAAACGCGATAAAGATAATGAACAATGAGTGCGCGTAACGGTTGTCTCGCGTTTGCGGTGTTTTAATGCCGACATTTAGAAGTCCGTTCCCCCATAACAGACGTCTAAAGGACTCTAGAAGT